GGGAAAGTTTGTTGCACTTTTTTTGCGGTCTTTTAAAAAGTTTAAAACATTGGTTTATATGGGTTTTGTTAGAGAATGAACTGTATTTTAATTGAAAATTCTTAAAAATAAATAATTAAACATAAGTGGCAAACAATATCGCTTTGAAAGGGGGTGCTATAGATATGTCCAATACTGTATGTATATAACCTGTGCCCGTTTGTTGGAAGGCTCTAATAATTAAACATATGTATAAGTAGTACTGCACTAAAAGATGTTGTACGACGGATCACTCTGCGAAGGAGCACTCCAGGACCAGAGCGGATACCCATAATTAAGAGTAATTTTTTTGAGTTACAACCAGCAAACTACCTAGTTAAACGAGTTAAGAATGTCGTTTAACACAACGCAAGAATGCACCTTTCACAAAATTGAATTCCTTAAAATTGTAATTTGGCACAACGCAAAAGTGCACTATGTATGACATTGAATTTAAATTTCAAACTTTTTTCTCAGAAGCTCTAGAATTTTTTTGAGTATATAATAATGAGGAAGTTTCAAGTCGCTAAAGATTACCGTTGATTTTTTAGATTTTTTTTTGTCTCATTTGCTTCCATATAACGACTAAACACAATTTATTTTTATATGGCAGAAACCCGTAACATCCTCGGCGAAAAAAATTTTAAAAAATCAACGGTAATTTTTAGCCACTTGAAACTTGCACATTATTAGATTAAAATTGAATGGGCTATAAAACTGTGTATTCAAAAAAATTCTACCGCTTCTGAGAAAAAAGTTTGAAATTTGGGTGAAAATTTTTTGTACTTTTTTGCGGTCTTTTAAAAAGTTTTAAGCTTGAGTTTATTTCAGTTTTGTGAGAGAATGAACTGTATTTTAATTGAAAATTCTTAAAAATAAATAAATAAACATGAGTGGCAAACAATATGACTTTGAAATGGGGGTGCTATTGTATTGGCCAATACTGTATATGTACTGTGTGCCAGCTGCCTGCTACCCGGCGACCGGAACTGGCGAAACGGCACTCAGAATCCCGTCTCATAATTCTTTATAGATTTTTTTAGTAACTTAATGATTGTTTTCGGGACTTTCCTATTTTCTATGTGGTTGACTCTTCGGTATATTTTCGAGAACATTCGGACTTTTTTAGCATTTTTCAGATTTTCTTCAGAGTTCTCGTGCTTTTCCGTCTTTAGTTTTTCGGTACCTTTTGGGATTTTTTATGTATATTTTTAAATTTTTTGGTTTTTGATTGCTATTGTTTTGGTTTTCGGTTTCTGCTGAGATTTTTCTCAATTTTTCGGGACTTTGCTGTTCTTTAAGTTTCTTTTTCGGAATTCTTTAATTTAAAAAATATCGATAATTTTATGTTCAAATTATCGACCCGTAAAAGCAGTTTCGATGCAAAACCAGCAACAAAAAAGTTAAGGTTTTATTAATCTGAAAAACTTTCACCACACTAACCCTAAGAGCGACAATAGCCGCCCAAAATTTTATTCGACGCTGATTTTACTAGATCTTCTGGTTTGGCATATACATATTTACATTAGAGTGCGCAGTGGTGTTTTAAGCTAATCGAGCAGGAAAAAGCATATCAAGTGTGTTTAAATTTTTCACAGACTTACATATAAGCAACTTGGTGAAAAATTTCATGAATTTGCTCAACTTTCGAGCGTTTTAGACACGTATTTCCGTTACATCTACCCATGGATTTATGTAGACATGTGAGAATTATACATACTTTATATGCCTGATAATAATCTCCAATTATTTTTTTATTGCTCACTACGTAAACCACTTTTATAATTCAAACATAAAAAGCTAACTTAAAGAGGCATATATACAGGGGTGTCCATTAATTTAATTTAGTTCTGCTTATTTAAAAATAGCTTTATGTTGTATAAACAGACATATTTCNAAACAATATCACTTTGAAATGGGGGTGCTATTGGATTGGCCAATACTGTATATGTACTGTGTGCCAGCTGCCTGTTACCCGGCGACCGGAACTGGCGAAACGGCACTCAGAATCCCGTCTCATAATTCTTTATAGATTTTTTTAGTAACTTAATGATTGTTTTCGGGACTTTCCTATTTTCTATGTGGTTGACTCTTCGGTATATTTTCGAGAACATTCGGACTTTTTTAGCATTTTTCAGATTTTCTTCAGAGTTCTCGTGCTTTTCCGTCTTTAGTTTTTCGGTACCTTTTGGGATTTTTTATGTATATTTTTAAATTTTTTTGGTTTTGATTGCTATTGTTTTGGTTTTCGGTTTCTGCTGAGATTTTTCTCAATTTTTCGGGACTTTGCTGTTCTTTAAGTTTCTTTTTCGGAATTCTTTAATTTAAAAAATATCGATAATTTTATGTTCAAATTATCGACCCGTAAAAGCAGTTTCGATGCAAAACCAGCAACAAAAAAGTTAAGGTTTTATTAATCTGAAAAACTTTCACCACACTAACCCTAAGAGCGACNCAATTTTTCGGGACTTTGCTGTTCTTTAAGTTTCTTTTTCGGAATTCTTTGGTTTTAGTTGTATATATTTTCAATTTCTTTACCGATTTTTTCGGAAACCTTTGAAATATCTTCGAGACTTTTTAGAGTAGGTACCTCATACTTTTATTTTATTTTTTTTTGAGTTTTTACGGATGTATTTTTTTCGACAATCAGCGGCATTTTGCGGGATTTCGCCGGAATTTTTCGAAATTTTGCAGTCAAATTTATGTTTGCAGCTTAACTTGGCTTTTTTAAAAATGCTTAACAAAGAAATTGAAAAAATATCGATAATTTTCTGTTCAAATTATCGAAACGTAAAAGTAGTTTCGATGCAAAACCAGCAACAAAAAAGTTAAGGTTTTATTAATCTGAAAAACTTTCTCCACACTAACCCTAAGAATGAAAATAGCCGCCCAAAATTTTATTCGACGCTGATTTTACTAGATCTTCTGGTTTGGCATATACATATTTACATTAGAGTGCGCAGTGGTGTTTTAAGCTAATCGAGCAGGAAAAAGCATATCAAGTGTGTTTAAATTTTTCACAGACTTACATATAAGCAACTTGGTGAAAAATTTCATGAATTTGCTCAACTTTCGAGCGTTTTAGACACGTATTTCCGTTACATCTACCCATGGATTTATGTAGACATGTGAGAATTATACATACTTTATATGCCTGATAATAATCTCCAATTATTTTTTTATTGCTCACTACGTAAACCACTTTTATAATTCAAACATAAAAAGCTAACTTAAAGAGGCATATATACAGGGGTGTCCATTAATTTAATTTAGTTCTGCTTATTTAAAAATAGCTTTATGTTGTATAAACAGACATATTTCCCCTTTATCGCCAACAACTGACACACATTTTCTTAGAAATTAACATAAATATAATCCTCTTACTTTACGCATGCATGGATTTACGTATTTAATTATGTGATACTAACTACATATGTACGTGAGTGTATGTATATGTAGGTGTAAATTTTCTTTATTGCAGGTTTACTGTGGCAATTGTTTTATTAATAATTAAGTTGTATAATTGTGTGTATAANTTTTTCACAGACTTACTTATAAGCAACTTGGTGAAAAATTTCATGAATTTGCTCAACTTTCGAGCGTTTTAGACACGTATTTCCGTTACATCTACCCATGGATTTATGTAGACATGTGAGAATTTTATGCCTGATAATAATCTCCAATTATTTTTTTATTGCTCACTACGTAAACCACTTTTATAATTCAAACATAAAAAGCTAACTTAAAGAGGCACATATACAGGGGTGTCCATTAATTTAATTTAGTTCTGCTTATTTAAAAATAGCTTTATGTTGTATAAACAGACATATTTCCCCTTTATCGCCAACAACTGACACACATTTTCTTAGAAATTAACATAAATATAATCCTCTTACTTTACGCATGCATGGATTTACGTATTTAATTATGTGATACTAACTACATACGTACGTGTGTGTATGTATATGTAGGTGTAAATTTTCTTTATTGCAGGCTTACTGTGGCAATTGTTTTATTAATAATTAAGTTGTATATTTGTGTGTATAGTATATTATTTGCTAATAATACTGAAAACTTGTTTGCTCCATAAACTTATTTAAGAATATTTTGTTTACATACACATTAGAGTGGTCCAAAATTGCATGTGAACAAGTAAAGTCGGAATTTTAATGCCGGTGCCCCTTAAGATTGTTCTATACCCAAAAAAAAAATGTATACCCCTAGCTTTTTATTTTGAAATCGAAGAATATTTAGGCAGTGCTCAAAGTTTTTCAAGTATTTTATATGGGGAAAAAACAACTTTTCGTAGAAATAGTGTAGAGCTCTTGAAAAGCAATATTTTTAGATCGGAGAACTCGGTTCCTATTCAGGAGAATCCCAGTAATAATATGCAATTGTTTTTTTGTTTAACCATTTTTTCATGGTAACTATATTTTTTAGGTCCTCCAACATCCCCAGAAAATGCAATGGGCGACCAATAAAAAATCTTTAATATTAAAAAATGGTTAAATAAATCATTGGGCATTATTACTGGAAGTCTTCTGAAGAGAGCCACAGTTTGCCGCTCAAAAAATATTGCTTTTCAAGATTGTTATACCATTTGTACGAAAAATTATTTTTTCCACATATAAAATACATGGACGACTTTTGGCGCTTTGAGCACTCCCTAAATATTTTTTGATTTTAAATAATATTTTTTTTTGATATAGAACAATTCTAGGGGGTGCCGGCATTAAAATTCTGACTTTATTTTTTTGTACCACACTAATATACATACATATATTCATGCATATGCCTATTGGAAAATCTTCAATAGAGTGCCCGAGAATATTCTGTATGTATAATTATGCATGTGTGTAATTATCAAATAATAGCTGTAAATATTCGTAGTTAAATGTCTTTTTACTTAAATTTTTTACTTACCATTCGAAGATGTAGAGAAGAGGAAACTGTGCGTCAAGTCACTCCAACCATAACGATTCCTGTAAATTCAAGTAGGCAAAATTAGTCATTGCATAGCTGAGTTTCGACTATTCAATGCTGAAAACATATTCCACTCACATTAGTTTGCAATTAATTAGAGAATGAAAATGTTCCTGGAAATTTACTAAAACCAAATACAATAATTATTTGTGACAACCGCATCAATTGTGGTATGCATAGGACATACGCTATGTAAGTATGCATATGTATGCAGCATGTGGCAATTGGTAAGTGGCGTGTGGCATGTGAACGAAAGCTACCATATTTACATACATATAATTTGGCAGATATTTGTCTTATATTTCAACATTTGTATGATGTACATATGTGTGTATCTATTTGCTTGATGGCAGATTTTAAATGGTTATTTGGGTTGTATAACCTAAAAATATAAAAGTCTAGCACACAAATAAATACAAAAGACAAAAACTGTGAGTAGCGACCTAATATACTTTTTAGAGAATCAAATATGAATATACCAGTGTTTGAAAAACTGTCAGCATAACAGCAACAGCACTATAAAAAAACTGCTGTTGCTGCGCTGCGAAAGCAATTCTTTTCTTTTGAAACTTTTGTAACTTTGCTTTGTTGAGCACATATCCACAGCTAAAACAGTGTTTGTATTGTTCAAATTTGCGTCCAACTGAACGCAGGGTTGCACGAAAAAAGTTGAATGGCTAAATATATTAAAATATTCGCCATAAAAAGGCGTTGGCATTGTTCAACTTTGCTAAACTGACTCTGCATCTGCGGGGTCCTTATCGAATGTGGTTGGGATAAGCTTTCCTTCTCTCCTGCCGAATATGCTTTGGTCTTCGAGGATGAGGTATTTAAAAATTCCTAAATCGATGGACTACGTGGTGGTGTACAGGTACAGGGGAAGGAGTTTACGTGCCTGCAGTGACAGCCAAGCAGCACTTAAGGCATTGACCAGCCTTTTAATTACTTCCAAACTAGGTACGCAATGCAAGTTTCGACTAAGTTATCTTAGTACATATAACAAGTTTGCTTTACTCTGAGTTCAGATCATTCTGAAGTACCTGGTAGTGAGACATCTGACCAATTGGTCAGACTTAGCTTAAACCAGGCATTCCTCGGTCCGTAACCGGTTATAGCACTCCCAGATTTGGCCATGGAAACCATCATCAGAATGACTGGAATTTAGCCGCGTTGTGTTACGAGAGGGATACCTAAGCTCTTTGACACCCAGCAATCTGCTTATTTTTATTCGTAAATCGTTTAGACGTAAAACAGATTAAAAGGAATACAGTGAAATAAACGGCATATAGTCTATGTGCTATTTTCTGCACGTGTTATTTTGCGCGTGGTTCCGCACAAAAAAAAAAAAAACATAGTTATAAAATGTATAATGAATTTTTCTGGTATCTAAGCAACTTAAAATCTAATCCAGTCGTTTAAGGCAAGCTCAGTGGCGTATACAGACTTTTGGTTAGGGGGTAGGAGACGACTTGCGTCCACTTGTCAAATAAGGTTAAATTTTCGGGGTTTTTATTTTAGCGATTTGAAAATTTGAAACAGAAAAAGTATTTTATAAAGCATTTTCACATTATCATAAATAGTTTACGGCTCATTCGTAATTTATAAACAAACCAAGTAATTTTGCCATGTAGAACCCAGTTTCAAAAATTTGTTTCATAGTTTTAAATGTAATTTAAAATCAGATTTTTTAGAAAAGTTTTGGGCATGCATTTTTATAGCCAATTTAATTTCAAAATAATAAGGCGCAAATTCGAAGTTTTACATTTTCTTCGAGTAGCTTAGAACAAAGACGCCTACAACCAAAAAAAATTCTCAATTTTGAGATACTTTAAACGTTCACTTTTTAGCCGCATTTAGTTCTTTCATTTTTGGAGTGTTTATGGACCAATCTTAAGATAAAACTTTTGAATTATTTTAAATAGGGCATATGGGATATTTATTTTTAGCAAAAATTTCCAGTAATAGTATTTTTTTTTTGCTTGTCGGATTCCAGTCGGGCAATATTCTTTTATAGGGGTGTATTTTGGATCCTTTTCTATAAAGGTCTGTTATAAAACTGTCCGCCTAAGTCTGGTTTCCCCGCTATTTAAACTCACAGTTTAACATCTTTCAAAAGAGTTTATGAGCAAAAATGTTCAGCGGATTGTTATAGGGAGAGTCGATAAAAAATCTGTTAGTTTTATCAAATAATATGTGTGAAAGATTTGGTGCAAAAATTCGATGTACCGCTAGCTTCTTCCTTCTGTTTTCAGCATCAGTAAAAATAACTCAGAAATATAAGACAGCGAATGCGGAACAGTGGGCTCGATACTCGAATGCTTTCGTCGGAGCTAAGTACCGAGATTTACTGAATTATATGTCCTCAAATTTCAGTGCCCTTCGAAGATCATTAGAAGGATTATGAAACTGGACAATAGCATCCTCTACTCAACTTCGACGAAAACGTATAGGTCTTTAGCACACTTTACCGCTTTATTTTGTTTTTGTTGACAGAAAAAATAAAAATTAAGCGCTAAAAAAAGCTAGGTAAATTACCAAAATATGCTCTTAAATATGAAGTGTTATTGAATTTTTTTAATTTTTTATTCAATAATCTCGTATAGTAAAAGCAAACATGAGCGGCGATCGCCCCCATCTTCCATACGCCATATCAATGACAGTGATGCCCCTCCCAAGCGATGCATAGTACGCTACTGTAGTTGTTGCCACTATAGCGGCTTTTGCTATTGTTTGTGTTATTTGCGTTGTTGTCACTGCTGTGCCCTGCCTGACAAAGTAGAGAAACGTTGTGCTAGTGTTGCAAATTGTTAATATGTCAACGTTAATTCAAGTAAATTCTGCTGAGACGGAGTTTCAACAATATAAACTTTCACTTTGTTCTTGAGAAAAATGACAGAAATTACAAAGCAACGCACACTTAGCACATCGGCAATGACACTTACAGCTGCAAAAGAGCAACAGCTCAGCAAATCGGGCTCTAATGGCAATGCAGCTGTAAAATGACACGAGCTACATATTGAAAATTTCGTAAGCAACAACAATTTCAAACAATAATGTATGTATCCGTATAGCCGGAATTGACGGCGATCGTATACAATAAATTGAAACATTGATTGCTGTAAGCGAATATTGCAAGTAGATAGTGAATAGGGAATAGAAAGTAAGCGAACGCATCAAACCCACGTACTCCGTGTAAAAATGTAGCATTTCAACTATCTCCCATCATCGCCGCCCAAGTAGCATGCAACAGATGGTAGTGAGGGCAAACTAATGCATACATATGTATGTAAGTAATGACTTGCTTTGCTTACTTAAGTAAAATATCTAGCTTACCTCGCCTGCACGGTGGCCTCGTAATGTTGGTCTGGGTCCAGGCCGCGTATCATATAGCTCATGCCTTGCGTGTAATGATGTGACAATGGCATTGCTGGCAGCACTACGTCGCGCCAATCGTTGCGACCCCAATGCAACACATTGCCATAGCTGCTGAGACCGGAACCCCCCAAGCCGCTGCTGAGGCGATGATTATGCTGGCTGCCGAGCAAACCGCTGCCCATACTGCCAATACCACTGCCGCCGCCACCACCACCACCGCCATACATCTGCAGCAGCGTCGAAGAGGACGAGCCGGAATGCGTATCAATGGAGTTGTCGACCTCATGTCCTTGCGGCAACCTTCGGAAGGATAATTTGTACTCTTCGATGGATGTGTGCGAGTCTACGGTCCAAGAAATATTATATCTGCAAAGAAGGCGAAGCGAAAACAAAAGCAAATTAGTTGTTAATAGAAAGTGTGGGAAAGATTGCAATCGCGAAAAAGGGCTTTGAATGTGCATGGTTGAGTATATATGTATATGTATATGTGTGTATATTAGGGTGAGTCAATTTGTAAGGGTGATTTTTCCGACTATGCGCATATAGCACAGAATGTTTCTACGTGTAATTCTAAGCAAAATTGCTGGAAAAAACCTTGGGGCTAAAATCAATTTGCAGTTTGCCAAATTGCGAATATACATACATATGTTTCTTAGCAAATGCTGTAGTGACATAAAGAAGTGTTAGAGTTTTGCTATACGGTTTTTTTTGCTTAGTATTACATGTAGAATCCTCCTATTCTATAAGCGCGTAGTCAAAAAAAAAAAAAAAATGACCCGCCCTAGTATATATACATATATACCTACTTATTATATGTATGTGCGTGAGTGTAAACTTATTGTGCGGTGCAACGCTAATGTAAGCGCGTACTAGCTACTAGCTAAGATTGTCCGCGTATAGTATGTTTGTACGTATGTATGTATATATGTATGTATGTATGCAGTACAACCTGATTTGTATTTTCATCTATTCCCATTATGTGCAACATAACAATGCCATTGTCTAGAAAGTGACTCAACGAGCTGGGCGAATGCCGCGCGAACTGAATTAATGAAGTATACGCGCGACTATTGGCGTAACGGTAATGGCTGCCAACCCCCAACCCAAGGAAATGCAAGTACAGCGAAGGCATTCCACTGCAGTATCAACATGTTGAAGAAAGAGAGGATGACGAAAAAGTCAACACGGACATCAGACAACAAAGTCAAGCACAAATCCCCGTTGGCAAATGCCTTCGACGATGGTATGTCAGCACTCAGCTGCAACTGTTTGGGAGAGGAAATGGAGTAATGCTAATGTTTGCATTGTTAAGAAGTTGAAGTGCGAAAACAATGACAGCTGCAGGCGGCCGCCACATTGCAGTGCGTTGACTTTGTTGCAACTGCACGCTGCAAAATGGCTGCGGGTAACCACACAAGTAAACTCATCCACGATAGAGGGCAAAGAAAAGCACTCGAGTTGCATAAGGAATGGTAAGAGACTTATGTATGTATGTGTAGCTCTTGCGCGCT